CTTTGATTCTATTCATAAACCAAAATTAAAAGAAATCAATAATGTCAAAAGTCAATTACAAAGTACAAAAAAATTTCTTTGTACTTTAAAACAAGAAATTAAATATAAATATGTGGAAGAACAAATACAGAATCCTTTGATCCAACAAAAGATTCAATCCATTCAACAACAAATAGAACCTCTATCTGTAGTGAGCATCCCAATGCTTTTTGGGAAAGGAAAAAACATAGTATTAGTCTACCATACGAACCTGGATTTGATGAAAAACAAATCCCTACTAAAGCTAGACCAATACAAATGAATACTACTTTATTAGACATGTGTAGAAAAGAAATTACTGATCTCCAAACAAAAAAGTTAATAAGACCAAGCGCATCACCATGGAGTTGTACAGCTTTCTATATCAATAAAAATGCTGAAAAAGAACGAGGAGTTCCAAGATTAGTCATTAATTATAAACCTTTAAATAAAGTGTTACAATGGATTAGATATCCTATTCCCAATAAAAAGGATTTACTAGATAGAGTAGCAAATGCTTGTATATTTTCCAAATTTGACATGAAATCAGGATATTGGTAAATACAAATTCAAGAAAAAGATAACTATAAAACAATATTTAATGTACTTTTTGGACAATACGAATGGAATGTAATGCCATTTGGTCTCAAAAATGCTCCGTCAGAATTTCAGAAAATAATGAATGATGTATTCAATGCTTACTATCAATTCATGATAGTTTATATCGATGACGTCTTGATCTTTTCTGAATCCATAGATGAACATATTAATACTTTTATTCATGCAGTCCAGAATGCTGGTTTAGTTGTATTTGCAAGAAAGATTACTTTATTCAAAACAAATATTAGGCTTCTAGGCCACAATATCCATCATGGCACTATTATTCCTATAAATCGATCCATACAATTTGCTAACAAATTTCCTGATCAAATATTAGATAAAAAAGAACTTCAAAAGTTCTAGGATGTTTAAATTATGTTAGTGATTTTTATCCCAATCTTGCTATAGATGCTAAGCCTTTACATAATAGATTAAAAAAGAATCCTCCAACTTAGACGGATATTCATACCATAGCAGTCCAACTCATCAAACAAAAAGTCAAAACCCTTGTTTGCCATTCTCATCTTCATCCTACTGCTTTCAAAATAATTGAATGTGAAGCCTCAGAATTGGGATTAGGGGGTATTCTCAAACAACGCATCGATGGTCATGAACAACTACTCAGGTATACCTCTAAAGCTAGGAATCCAACGCAACAAAATTATTCTATGGTCAAAAAAGAATTACTTGCAATAGTCCATTGCGTTACCAAATTTCAAAGTGATATTCTCAATCAACAGTTTCTTATTCGAACTGATTGCAAAGCCGCTAAAGATATTCTGCAAAAAGATGTTCAAAACCTTGTTGCCAAACAAATATTTGCTCGCTGGCAAGCTATACTTTCTGCCTTTGATTTTACTATTGAACACCTTCCCCGGTCTTCTAATTCACTTCCTGATTTTTTAACCCGTGAATTTTTGCAGGGGGGCAACACTGACGCCAACGACGATTCACCATTATCACTTGCACTACAGCTCTTTGCAGCTAATAATAATAATACTCTGTCCAATCCACCTACCCTCATGAGCTCTCGTAGCAATTCCTCTCGCAGTGAGAAACGCCCTTTGACAATAATACCCTTTGAAGATGAGAACCCGCCTTTGGCAACCCTTTCACCTTCCATTTCTCCTGTTCACCAAATCACTTATCCAGACGCTAATACATCCACTCCCGCCTATACTCCAGCTCAATCAAAACCAAACCAAAGGCCTAATGTTCCTCGCTCTGCATATATTGAACGAGCATATCTTATATATATTACAATAGATGACCACCATACTAATATGGACCCTATCAAACTTGCTTCATTATATCTTATCAACCATTTGAATCCAAGCAATGGAGTCAAAACTCGTGAGTATTATGAAGTCATTCTTATGGAAACAGGATCCATCTCTGTTGTCCATTACTACCATTCAAAAATACAGATCAAGAAATTGCTTTCTTATGATGAATGGGGTTGCAATCCTGCTCAAGGCAAAAAATTACATAATCCTGATTTTTCATACGAATATTACAAGTATGCCGAATACATAGAAGCATGGCATAAAATGTTTTACTACCAAAATCCAAACAATACTCATAGTTGGTATATTCAGTTTCGTTTACCCATTTTCGAAAGGTTCCCCAATTGGTTTAAAAATTTGTTTTTAGTTTGGGGATCAACCACTGCAATTTTACCTCCTGCTTTCCAAAAAGTGCAGGAGCAATTCGTTATATTCAATAATAGTGATGATAATACAGATAATCACTTATACTTTGTTGCACTATACCAACTCCCATGGATTATGAAATGGGAATACTCCATCTCTGTTAATAATACAGCCGACCATACTTATATCCTACGCCTGGGAAAAACCATCTCAGTAAAATGGTGGGACATCTTCAATATGGATCTCACAACTATCGTCCCTAAACGCATACCACCACAAAAACCTATATATAACCCCAGTCCACGTGGACATAATACAACCAATACTTCCTTTGACTTCCCCACATATTTGAGAAATATGCTACAAACAAACCCTAATGCTTCCAAAGAAACCTTGGACAACAAATGAACAAAATCTTTGCAGAAGCAGGAAGAAAGCCGATCTCATCAGATAAGACCGTATAGTCATCACCAGCTCACAACAATAGATATTTTTCCTTGGACGAAACAGACCTTGAAGAAGAAGATGATATAGACGAATTCAGTCAAAGACGAATTACAAAGGTTCAAGATAGAGAGAGTTGTGAATGATGGATTTATTAATTTTGTACTTTATTTTTTTAAAAAAATTACTTTTATGGGGTAATTTTGTAAATATTACTACAAGACAAAAAGGTAATTTTGTCATCCCCGTCAAATTTTCATCACCGTCAAATTGTGTCCATATGGGCGTGCAAGTCACTCGGTAAAGAAATTAACATATTTAGAGAGCTCTCTCTATCTCTAAAACCGATATCGGATTTCTCTCTTACCCCATATCCCGAAAATTAATGAAATCCTCTCGATCCCCTTCAACCCATTTCTCTTAATGTTCTTAGATAGAGAAAGAAGCGAGCCCTCTTCAAAAATGTACTCTCTTCGTGTTTTTTCTAATTTCAGATAAGAAAGCAACAACAAATGTCTACAAAAACCCAATTCCGCGCTTAAGATAGGCATTCTCCCAAAAGCCCAATCTGTAGAATGTAAGAGAGAGAGAGAAGAGAGCTTCTTTCAATCTTCCTTGTTTTTTTAGAGGAAGAGAGTTCTCTCTCACTAAAACCCTAATCTTTGTGGGTTTCTTGTGTTCTTTCTAGAGAGAGAGATCTCTCTAAAAGCCAAATCTCTGATGCGTTTTTCTCTCACCTCAGATTCCCAAATTAGAGAAATCCACTATATCCGGACAATGTAGAAACCAAATTGGCGGCAACTTTTGGGAGGTTGTCTGCAATGAACATGGCATCAATACCACTGGTGCATACAAAGGAGACTCTCTATTGCAGTTAGAGAGAGTGACGGTTTATTACAATGAAGTGAGCAAAGGCCACTACGTTCCAAGAGCTGTGTTGATGGACCTTGAAGGCTTGAACCATGGAAAGGTTCTTTTCGTTTGAATTTTCATGCCTGATAACTTTTGCTTTTGGGCAAAATGGTGCTGGGAACAACTAGGCCATAGGGCATTAC